CAATAATATAAAACATATTAAAGGGGTCTACTACAGCAGTTTATCATAAAATTGTTTCTAAATTGTTTTTACAGTAATATTGTTTGTCTGCAAAGTCTGCAATAAAATCTTAGCTTCTTCAGCATTGACATGAAACCAGAGGCTTCCCTTTATAAACAAAATGACAGATTCTTAAAGAGCCTTTGAATAAGCTGTGACACAAGCAAATCCAATAAAAGGTGAAGATCTCCCAGGAGCTAGGGATCTGCATACGCTTTTACCTGTACTCACATATTGCAGTAAAGGTCATTGCCTGCAGCGATATTCTATAACTGCTGTCTTATCTTGTTTTGTCATACACAGTCATTTCCACTATCAGAAAAATGTGGGGGAGGGTAGTTTCTGTAGCTCACACTCAAACTCAGGTCACCCCTGCAACCAGACTGTACAAGCAAATTATGTTAGAATTACCAGAGTCCAATAACTTGTAAAAATGAATTTGCACCTCCAGTTAATAGCTGAATGGAATGGCATCACAAGATTTCACTTTTTAAGATGATTACTGTAACAAATGGCCTAGTGTTATTAAAAGAACAAAGAACAAAAAATTACAGCACAGGAACAGGCCCTTCGGCCCTCCAAGCCTGCAGCGATCCAGATCTTCTATCTAAACCTGTCACCTACTTTCCAAGGATCTGTATCCCTCTGCTCCCTGCCCATTCATGTATCTGTCTAGATTCATCTTAAATGACGCTATCGAGCCTGCCTCTACCACCTCTGCTGGCAACATGTTCCAGGTATCCTCTGCATAAATAGCTTTCCATGCATATCTCCCTTAAACTTTTCCCCTATCACCTTCAAATCGTGACCCCTAGTAATTGAGTCCCCTACTCTGGGGTAAAAGCTTCTTGCTATCCACCCTGTCTATACCTCTCATGATTTTGTAGACCTCAATCAGGTCCTCCCTCAACCTCCGTCTTTCTAACGTAAATAATCCTAATCTACTCAACCTCTCTTCATAGCTAGCACCCTCCACACCAGGCAACATCCTGAAGAACCACCTCTGCACCCTCTCCAAAAGTCCACATCCTTTTGGTAATGTGGCAACCAGAACTGTACGCAGTATTCCAAATGTGGTCGAACCAAAGTCCTATACAACTGTAACATGACCTGCCAACTCTTGTACTCAATACCCCGTCCGATGAATGAAAGCATGCCGTATGCCTTCTTTACCACTCTATCGACCTGTGTTGCCACCTTCAGGGTACAATGGACCTGAACACCCAGATCTCTCTGTGCATCAATTTTCCCCAGAGCTTTTCCATTTACCGAATAGTTCGCTCTTGAATTGGATCTTCCAATTATTGATGAAATACTATCAAGTGTACCTTACCTCATAGAATCTGGGCAGCATAGGCAAGTTGGGCCAAAGGGGCCTGTTTTTATGCTGCAGACCTCTATGACTCCATGAGATGTACCTTTATGCTGGAGGGGAGGGCCATCCTCTCATTAGTGGTCCCTCACAGACACTGATGACTTTCTTCCACTCTCGGGGAGAGTGCTAGGTGGCTGTACAGACTGAGGGCAGCATGATACCAGATGCTGCCAGTCCTGTCTGAGGTTGTCACTCAGGTCAGTGCAGTATCTACAGTCTGGAGGAACACCCAGCAATGCCATAAGAAGATGCAATGATCTTCTCTACCACCAGCTCTACTCCCTCACACTCACTGAATCTCTTCTCCTGCATACACCTCCCAACAAGTTTCTCACTATCACATATAACATCTTCCCTCACTCGCTCTCACACATTGAACTCCTTCCACCGCATGGCCTCTGCACCTTCTGCTCACTCACTCACTCACTCAGGACACCTCATCTATTTTCCTCCTCCACTTAGCTGCACTAATGGCTGTGCCAGAAATATTTATCCTAATCAATCCTTTGTCTCATTCTAGGAGAAAATGCCCCAAACAGGACAGAAAGAGCCAAAACAGATGTTGGAGTGATCAACATTCAACTCCTCACTCTCCATGAGGAGAGAACCTTTATGGCGACCACCCCGAGGAGCTGCCTGACCAAAGTCAAGCCCCTGAACTGATATTAGACAATCCCTTTGACTTACTGTGCCAGGACCCTCTGACTGAAGCATATCTGCCTGGATTTGACTGAAGCCTCCTCCACTTGAGACATGGCCATTTGTCTAGTAGTCAATGTGTTTGTCACATAGGCACCTTGTAGTTGTGCCATTGGTATAACACGATGCCACACAACAACATGTCCACCCCCTTGACTGACCACTGCTGACTTCATACTTTATACATTTATACATTTATACATTCACAAGATGAGGATGTCGCTGGCTAGGCCAGCATTTATTGTCCATCCCAGAGGGCACTTGAGAGCCAACCAAATTGCTGTGGCTCTGGAGTCACGTGTAGGCCAGGATGGCAGTTTCCTTCCCAAAAGGATACTAGTGAACCAAATGGGTTTTTCCTGATAATTGATGATAAATTCATGGTCATCATCAGAGTCCTGATTTTTTTTTTTATTGAATTCAAATTCCACCATCTGCCATGGCAGGATTCTGAACCTGGGTCCCCAGAACATTAACTGGGTCTCTGGACTAACAGTCCAGTGATAGGTCATTGCCTCCCCCAGATAACCATAACAGGCTGCCTGGTTTTGTGTCAGTACTAAACAGCAAAGTAAAACAGAAGGGCTAGGAGCCTTTAAGCTCTAGTTGAAGGGGCAAAGTGCAAAAAGACAAGGGAAGGAATGTCAAGGATGCTGTGAGCAGTCACTGCAAATTGAATGAGAACTAAGAGCATGGTTCCCTCTAATTTTATTACCTGCAAATCTAGAGGTCAATGCCACTGTCAGTGCGCTGATTCCAATTGCTATGTGGAATATCAGAGGATGTATGCAGATTACAGGGAATGCTGGATAATGAGGAGCCCTGAGATGCACCCTGGTCCAATCCACGAGGCCAGGTACTTGCCCCTTTCTGCACAAAGTGACCACACAGCGCCGATGCAATCAAAGGTGTCAGTGTCCTTTAAAGTGCAGCATGGCATTGCAGAGTTGCATGGGATGTGAACAAAAACAAAGTTGCTGGAAAAGCTTAGCAGGTCTGGCAGCATCTGTGAAGGAGAAAACAGAGTTAACGTTTTGGGTCCGGTGACCCTTCCTCAGAACTGACTGTGGCTGGGAAAACGTCAGTTTATATGCAGAAAATAGGGAGGTGGGTGGGGTAAGGAGTATACGATAGGATAGAGCCCAAAGAGAGAGAAAGACAGTTGGACAGACAAAGGAGTTGCTAATGATCAGGCTGGGAGGGTGAATAATTGTTAATGGGGACTGTTAGTGACTAACAACAGCGGGTGTGTAATGGCAGGCTATGTGGTAACAAGGCCTGGTGTGTGGGGTCGGGGGCTGGGACATGGGAAAGTTTAGGCCCTAAAATTATTGAACTCAATATTGAGTCCGGAGGGCTGTAGGGTCCCCAAGCGGAAAATGAGGTTTTCCTCCAGCTTGTGTTGGAGCGGAAGGTTAGGAGGGATGGTGAATACCCGACAGGAGGTGGGGGGGGTTGGGGGAAGGGATAGAGTCAGAGGGAAGGTGAGGAGAGGAAGGTTCCAGAGGGCCATGGGTATTTTTGAGTTGTTGCATCTTGTGGGCCTTGATGTCTGAAAGGAAAAGAAAAAGTTTCTTGTTAGCACGATGAATGAGCCGGAGGATGAAGTGGATGCGGAGTGGTGTAGCCCTGAGCCAGCACGTTGCGATGCTGTTGGAGAGAGAGGTCGAGACTGTGCATATGACACCACATGGCACTGAGTGTACATCTCAGGATGCGGCGAGAGCAGCTGTCTGTGGAACGTTGAACATCACGGAGATATCTGTGATCCTGGGAGGATTCAAAACATGAGGCATGAAACTTCAGTTGGAATCCACGTGGGGTGAGTCTGAGCCAGAGGCAGTCACTGAGGAATGTGATATGGCTGTGGAAATGAGTTTTAGCAAATACCTGGTCAAACACCAGGAGTGAGAGTGAAATTAATGTCGGTGGGCAAGAAGAGAGATTGGAACGGAAATCAATGCATGGGATGTGGATCAAAGACGTACCATGAGGGTGCACTGAAGCTGGTACCTGGCTGATACCACTGTCCATGCCTAGCAAGTGCATACAGTCACTGCACATGGAGCACGCTCTGTCAAAGTTAAATGGGGGTCCATTCAGTTATCGGACCCTCTTAGTGTCTCAAATGTACATACAGTAAATATAATCTTGTAAAAGTAAGAAAAGCATTGGGTTTGTTTGTTCTACAGAGAGTAACACAGCACGGAAACAGACCCTTCAGTCCAACAGTCCATGCCGACCATAATCCCACACTAAAGACAGTATAGAATTGAATTGCCCTAGTCACTATGTGTATGTATATAAAGATTCTTTTTATGAAAAACATAGTTTTTAAAATAAAACTTTTAAAAATTTTCTGTCCGCAGGATATCCCCCCCAGCGTGGGTATCTTAATGTTATCTTCCAGAGAATAAGCAATCTGAATGTCTCCTAAAGGTGTTTGAGATTAAAGGAGGAGAGGGTCCTCTCTGTGTCCTGTCTGTAACACTACAGTTTGTCCTTCAGAAGACCATATTGAAATGTGACTGTGGATTAACAAACACTGACCCCCAAGTAATGAACAAACTTCTATGATTAATTCAAGTGAGAGGCCTTAGAATTGGAACATGTAATACATTGATGAACACACCATAAGACAGCTGAAATAGAAACGGGAGTAGGCCATTCGGCCCCTCAAGTCTGCTCCTTCCTTCATGAAGGATTATGTGCAGAATCTTGAGCATTGTGACTCAAATGCAGAAAAATAATTTAGTAACAATTGATTTGTTGCTTGCTAAACTTTCCCTGACTGATTTGACTTCATCTTTGTAAGCCACCTCTCAGATTTGTATTTTCTTGGCTTTTTCCCTTACTGCCCTGGTATAAACAGTTCTTGAAAACAGCTCTGAAACATTTTATTACAAATACATCTTTCAGGTTTACCAATCTTGCTAGCGTCATAGCTTTCCTCTTAGTGCTATGTGTACGGCTTATGGTTAGATTGCCCAGTCTTCGTTGAACCACACCCTGTATTTACTCTGTACTTGAAGACTTTGATACAGTTATCTCCGGTATCCATTACAAATACTAGACCATAACTAGAGCAAGCCAAACTAGTAGGCTTCTTGAGGCCAACTGATACAATGCAAACAGGAGATCCAAACTTTGGAAACAATATCACATTTCTTTTCTGTTCATCCACCACCATGATGTTCCCCTCCTTGTCAGCACAGAGCCCAGCAGGATTTCCAAATTGGTGACAGTATTTGTTGCTGAGTGAGTACATTAGTTTTAGGTTGCTTCCATACACCTTCACATCACCACATTCTTCACTCACAATGATTCCACCATCATACATTGAAGATATGTATCTGGGCCCTCTTAGTCCTGCAATAGTCTGAATATGCTGCTGCCTGAAGGTGTGATCTACAGCGAAAATATGAACGCTGCCTCCGGTATAATCGGTTACCAGGAGTTTCCCAGAACGGTCAACTCCAATTCCTTTGGGGCAATTTATTTTACCAATTTCAATCCATTCGCCTTCTGAGAACCTGGAGTGAGGATTGAAGATCCGAACAGTTCCACCCACTATATCGGTCACAGCCACCAGTCCAGTTCTGGTCAGAGTTACATCTTCTGGAAGAAAGGGCTCCTTGCGTCTTCCCTGGTTCTGAACACAGTGCAATGACCGGACAACCTGACCAGATCGATTCAGTACGTGGACCCGTGGAGAGCTGACACTAACGATGTAAGTGGTGCCATCAAGACCACAATGGATCCCACTCAGACCATCTGAATGATCCCCCTCTGGGTTTGCAATTTTGTACTTCAGCCAATTCTGACGAAAGCGAACCAGATTTTCAATATTCTTAAGATCCCGGCAGACCTGCGATACTGTTTGTGACAGATGATTCATATGTTGTACGGTCACCATGCCCATTCCTGTGTGACAGTTTAGCAATGGGCTTGTCTGTTGTAAAGCACTCCCTGACTTAACCTGGAGCTTGTGCATTGTCTGCAATAGTTTCTCTTTGCGCTTTGAGGTTTCCAAGGAATGGTCCATTGTAATGGACTTGTTTTGCACCTGAAGGTTGATAGAAAACAAGCTGTTTTAGAATGTTTCTACACAAGACCTAGGTAATAATAGGTATCATAATCAAGCAAAATGTTCAATTTATTTCAATTTAAAGATTTAAAATGTATGCATTCAATAAAAAGAGAATAGATGAATGGAACTTCCATACAGGTGGATTTTACTTCTATTTTGTACATTTTCTCAGGTTGTTTTTAGTTAATCTACTGATAATCTATGACTGGATAATGTGTGTGCGGTCCTTCTGATGGGTTTTCTGACCTGTAGGAGAAGTCATTGTCACCATGTCATACTTTCCCTGATATTGTGGAACCAGGAACTTACCATGTCCATATTTAACTCGAGGATGTTGTTTACTCAGGGCGATGAGTTTCTACCAATGGATCTTCAAGTGACTGAACAGGCCCATTCTTAACCCATAGATTTTTGGACACATGGGATAGGACATCCCATGAGGGAGTGGGTTCTAGAGTCTGGGATTCAGTTTCTCTTCTTTCTTTCATTGTTAAGGTGTTTTTTTTTTTAATTCATTCATGGAATGAGGGTGTCACTGACTGGGACAGCATTTATTGCCCAGATGGCAGTTAAGAGTCAACCACATTGCTGTGAGTCTGGAGTCACATGTAGGCCAGATCAGGTAAGGATGGCAGTTTCCTTCCCTAAAGGACAATAGTGAGCCAAATGTGTTTTTCTAACAGTCGACCATGGTTTCATGGTCATTGTTGGACTCCTAATTCCAGAGCTTTTCTTTATTGAAGTCAAAATCCACCAGGTGCCATGGCAGGATTCGAACCCGGGTCCCCAGAACGTTACGTGGGTCTCTGGATGAGCAGTCCAGCAATAATACCACTTGGCCATTGCCTCCCCATTGGGATGCACAGTGCGATGCAGCTTGATAGACAATTGTCACTGTCAACTGAATTAACGGGGACAAGGGGTAGCTTTGGGCACTGTAGAACTAAATATAGCTTAATTGTTTGAGATCAATGGATCCATTTTGAAAAATAAATTGCTTCATTCCTATGAACTTCATCATAGTGTATTGTTCTGTATGCTTACATGTTTGTCCATGATGTACAACAAGAGTGAGGAAGCTATAGTGAATGGAATGAGGTCAGCCAAGTGGATCCATAGAATATGAGTTCCCTGATTGGGGCTGCTAACCTGGTCCAATCTGTGTGGAGTTTGCTTCCACCCTCGGGTGACTGTCTGTGTGGAGTTTGCACATTTTTCCCATGTCTGCGTGGGTTTCCTCCGGGTGCTCCAGTTTCCTCCCACAGTCCAAAGATGTGCACGCTAGTTGAATTGGCCATGCTAAATTGCTAGTAATGTTCAGGGATATGTAGATTAGAGGGATGGGTCTGGGTGGGATGCTCTGAGGGTTGGTGTGGACTTGTTGGGATGAAGGGCCTGTTTCCACGCTGTAGAGATTCTATGATGATTCTAGTCAGTAATATATTTCTATCTCCTTTCTTTGTAGAGAATATCTCTGATTCCCATTCTAGGTAATGAGGAGATACCATCAAGTCTGGTAGAATGAGAGGTCATCTCATTCAAATGCTACTCTGTGGATGCAGGAAGGATGTTTACCCTGGTTGGTGGTCTAGAACCAGGGGACACTGTCTCATAGCATATGAGTTCCCTGATTGAGGCTGTCAACCTAGTCCTATCAGGGAGCCCTGGCTGACAGATCTAAGTAGAAATGTCAGAGGCCCTTTAGAACTGAGATAAGGAGGAATTTCTTTACTCAGAGTTGCTGAATCCTTAAAATTCTCTGCCCCAAAGGGCAGTGGAAGTTCAATCATTGAATATATTCAAGACTCAACATATTTCTAAATTTTAAAGGTACCAAGGGCTATGGGAATGGTGGAGGAAGATGGTGTTGCGGTAGATCATCTATGTCGAAGGATGAAACCATGGAATATGGTGGACAGAACTCAAGGGGTTCGATTCACCAAAGTTGGCATGGTGAGACACGATGGAAACAGCATGACAGCTTTCTGGGTGGTGGGCATGAAAAGTAAATACTTAGGTTGGAATTGCACGTTGTGTAGATGATCATCAAATGAACTTAATATTAATGAAGTTGAGGGCCTTATCACAGGGATCTTTCAGCTAATGGGAACAGTGCAGGTTTCATTGCACGCACTCGCTGGAAAGAAATTAAACTGGCTTCAGACTGGTGGATGGGGGAAGGGGCATACAATAAGAAGTGAAGGTGGGGTAGAGCTCCTGTTGCCTTCCTGATCTAAGGTAGGCCACCAGATACACCATGGCGGCTTCTGAGCAGTTGCTCCCAATCTGCAGCAAGAAATATATGAGCTGATACACCTCCACCCAAGACCTTCACTGGCCCGAGGTCCACAAACTCAGCAGAGCCTGTTACAAGGGGTGGGGGCAGCCACATTCTTGTTGGTGCTGGCTGGCTGCAGTACCAGCGGTGACCATTTGCCTCCCGTTGGGGCTACTGAGATGGAAAAGCTGCCCATCTTCTCACAAGCCCTGATGACAGGTAGTTTGTTCCTTGTAGAGGAAGCAATTGCCCTGGGGAGGTCCCAGCTGGGACCAGTGGCACTGGTGAATTTCACTGTTACAGACAATTTTGTGCTCCTTGGAGATTTGAGCTAAAAATCTTCAGTTAGCAACTGGCAGAACTTTACGGCAACTTCGAAGGAAGATATTCAGCTTTTGGAAACACTGATAGGACAAGGACTCTAAAGAAGATTTTTTTGCCATCTTCAAGATGTGTTGACTTGTTCTACCTTTTACCGGATCTGCATCCTTCCCCTTTTTATGAATACAGGAAGAGCACGATTCTCAAAAGAGAAATCAGTAAACCTCCCCAACCCCCGTCATTTAATAAACAGCACACTTTAAAGGCCAATGAACTCTTCAGCAGAGCTAAGAGAAAAGACAAACAAATATTGCTCTTTGGAGAAAGTTCTAGTAAAAATGCACAGAGCTTGTCAAAAATGGCCATCCTGGGACACAATCCTGCTCTTCATACCATTACTTTAATGGTTGGAGGCTTAAAAACACAGAAGGGGGAAACAATAGTAATGATAAAAGGCCCCTTAAAATAACTCCACAGAGGCCAGTGTCCTGTTACCCTTTATTTAAAAACCAAAAGAACTGCAGATGCTGTAAATCAGGAACAAAAACAAAGTTGCTGGAAAAGCTCAGCAGGTCTGGCAGCATCTGTGGAGGAGAAAACAGAGTTAACGTTTCAGGTCCGGTGACCCTTTATTTAACCCATGAACAGTCCTTGACTATAATACTGCCTCATTCAGAGTCAGCTATCAGAGTGTCAGTATCTCTGGCATTTCTGTTTATATCCGTCTGGCAGGGCTCCCTGATTGAACCAGATTAATAGCCCAATCAGGGAACTCATATTCTATGAGGTCCATCTGGCTGACATCAATATAAACGATACATTCCTCCCCCTCTGTTTGTTTATGTGCAGTCAGATGGCCAGGAAATAGAAACTGGTGGCTGTGTACGGACAAGGTTCAGTGGCCATTTTCTGGGGCAATGTTACAACAATAAGCCCAAACCATAGAATCCCTACAGTATAGATAGAGGCCATTCGGCACATCAAGTCTGCACCAATTCTCCAAACAGCATTTACCGTAGCCAATGCACCTAACCTGCATATCTCTGGATTGTGGGAGGAAACTGGAACACCCAGAGGAAACCCACACAGACATGGGGAGAACATGCAAACTCCATATAGACAGTCGCCCGAGGGTAGAATTGAACCAAAGGCCCTGACACTGAGAGGCAGCCATGCTAATCATTGTGCCACCATGCCACCCATCTGAGTTTACACCTTTCACTACCTCCAAACCACCCACCCAGGCCTTTCTGTCAAATCTCTTTCACATTAAAAGTAACAAAAAGCAGTATTTACAAATAATACTTACAATGCAAAGGTCCAGTGGTGTTACCTGATCAGGGTTTCACTGTACAATGGACAATCTCCAGGTATGCGTTTGATAAGGGATAACTGATTGTATTAGAATACAAGAAAGAGCAACAGGGACTGTTTGTTGTTAGTGACAGAACAACAGTTGCCAAAGTGCTTCTCAACTGATTTACCTTGGAGTACACACTGCATATCACTCTGCTTGAAATCAAACATAGGTGCTAGCTATGTAAACTGTATCTTTGGTTACATAGCAAACTAGCAGAGCACCACACTTTGTTTGACAAAGGGAAAAGGATTAAATTTGTTATTCCGAGTAACTTTCTGGAAGTGACTAATTACATGCTTCCATGATGAATTTTATTCATGGTATTGAAATTTAGTTATAGTCCATCAGGTTTATTTGAAAACATTAGCTTTCAGAACTTGCTCCTTCCTCAGGTGTAGTCAGAGAGGAGGTATCAGGACACAAAATTTATAAATAAAATATCAAACAATCATACAACTGATGCAACTGTGTTGAATAAACCTAAAGTAGCTGGCTGACTCCCTCCTGTTAAATCCTTAATCAGTTCGAAAGGAGACACAGGTTTCGATTGATTAAAATGTGAATCCCAGAATTTCTTTCAAGTCACTGCCCAGAGATAACTAAAGGTTTTATAGTGTATACAAGAGGCGACGTCTCAGGTCTTGATCAGTCTGTTGAGCTTATGGGTGTGTTCTTTGGTCGGATTGGCAGGTAGTGTTCCAGGTTGCTCAGTTGTCGGTGCACTTCCTTGCAGTAGCCCATTCTATTTCGTGTGACGATGGCTCCTCCTTTGCCTGCTGGTTTGATGGCGATGTTATAGTTGTCTTGAGAGTACGGATGGTGTTGCGTTGAGCCCGGGTGATGTTTTGCGCTACCTTGTGAGTGCAGCTAAATGAATTTGGCGTTCACACAGTTCCTGACAGCTTGAGCATACATGTCGATACGTTCTATTTTGTTCTCTGTATTGTAAGTATTACTTGTAAATATTGTTTTGTGTTACTTTTAATGTGAAAGAGCTTTGAGAGAAAGGCCTGGGTGGGTGGTTTGGAGGCAGTGAAAGGAGTAAACTCAGATGGGTGGCATGGTGGTACAATGATTAGCATGGCTGCCTCTCAGCCCCTGGGTTCGATTCCACCCTCGGGCAACTGTCTATGTGGAGTTTACAGGATCTCCCGGTGTCTGCATGGGTTTCCTCTGGGTGCTCTGGTTTCCTCCAACAGCCCAAAGATGTGCAGGTTAGGTGCATTGGCCATGGTAAATGCTCTTCAGAGAATTGGTGCAGACTTGATGGGCCGCAAGACCTGCTGAGTTTCTCCAGCAATTTATGTTTTTGTTTCGGTTCTCTGGCATCTGCAGTTCCTTTTAATGCCACTAGTTAGAATCCAGTAACACTCCTAAGAAACTGGTCAAGGTGGCTTTTTCCAGCAGGTTAATCCATCTCACAAAGAGGCAGTGACATAGTCATACAGTCACTGGATTAGTCATAGAGTCATAGAGTCATACAGCATGGAAACAGACCCTTTGGTCCAACCAGTCCATGCCACTCATAATCCCAGATTAAACCAGTCCCACTTGCCTGCATCTGGCCCATATTCCTCCAAACATTTCTTATTCATGTACTTATCTAATGGTCTTTTAAATATTGTGACTGTGCCTGCATCCACCACTTCCTCTGGAAGTTCATTCCACACATGAACCATTCTCTGTGTAAAAAGGTTGCCCCTCATGTCTTTTTCAAATCTTTCTCTTCTCACCTTAAAAACATATCCCCTAGTCTTGAAATCCCCCACCACAGGGAAAAGACATCTGCTATTCACCTAATCGATACCCCTCATGATTTTATAAACCTCTATGAGATCACCTCTCAACCTCCTACACTCTAGTGAAAGAAGTCCCAAACTATCCAGCCTCTCCTGAGAAAGCAAACCCTCCATTCCCGGTGACATTCTAGTAAATGTCTCTGAACCCTCTCCAGCTTAACAGTATCCTTCCTATAACAGGGTGACCAGAGCTAGACACAGTACTCCAGAAGAGGCCTTACCAATCTCCTGTACAACCTCAACATAACATCCCACACTGAATGGGACATGTCCGAGGGTTTGAATTCCACACTGGCGGATGCTGAAATTTGAATTCAGAATTTTTTTTAATTGTCAATTGTTGTAAAATCTCACCTGGTTCACGAATGCCCTTCAGGAAAGGAAATCTGCTCCCCTTACCTGGTCTGTAACTTTCGCTCCAACCCCCAACTTTATCATTGTTGCAACTTGCTGCTTCAATCTTGCTCAGCAAGCACATCCTATGAAGCTGCCCCATACATATGAAGAACCATAGTCATAGTCCCAGAAGATCATAGAGCTGCTCTCTTATTAGAAAGGGATGACTAGTAGTGCTTCAACCTGAGGGGTACCGTGCCTCAGGCAACGGGAGAGATGGAGAGGGCTGGAACTTCATGGTAACTACAGCTGGTGCAGGAACTGAGCTACCAACCAAGATCTCAACATCCCCCACCCACCAGAGCCCCCGCTCCAGGGCTCACCTAGTCTGGATTGTCTGCCATTTTTAAAACTTAACTGCGCCCCTTGCCTGCGGTGTAGTGACCCTCAGGTTAAACTCACCATCAGTTGTCTCTTATAGACATATGATCCTCTGGGACTATGATGACTTAAACTTACATGTAACTCCAGGCCCACAACAATGTGGTTGATTCTTAAATGTCCTCTGGGCAATTGGGGATGGACAATAAATGCTGGCCTGACACCCACAGTCAATGGACAGATAAAAAAATGATCTTGAGTTCCATTGGTTTCCTACCAGTCGAGACCCAGTCTAACTTCAGGACCACAAAACTGTTCTTTTGTTAAATTTTACAAAGCAGAAATATGCTTCATACAATAAATAAGAAATCTTATTCCAGTGTGTATCCATGGGGTGTCTAGCCTTTACGTGTGAGGGACCATACCTCAATTTTTTTCTGGCTTGAGTGGCCTATAATTGAATAAGTAGGAAGGGGAAGGTTTGGAATGAGATAAGACAAAGCAATAAGTTAATAGCTTTTCTGTTAGAAGAGAGTAATTTCATAAAAATGACCATTAAACAGTGCCAAACAGCAACTCTACTGAATAAATCCTTTGTTTCGTTTTTACTAGAGAAAGAAAAAAACTAGACCCCAAGTGGTGATCACCAGAAAAGGGGTTGGGGTCCAGGGCTGAGTTAAGAGTTGGTTATAACTTAGACCTTGTGGTTTGTCTCTGCTGGAGCACACTGCAGGCTAGCCTCAGTGGAATTTGTATGAAAGTTGTGTTTGCCTTTCAGCCAGAGGTGTTCCTCTCCTAGCCAGGTTTGTGGATAGGTTTCCAGGAGAATACAGTCACACAGTCATACAGCACAGAAACAAACCCTTCAGCCCAACCTGTCCATGCTGACCAGGTTTCCTAAACTGAACTAGTCCCGTTTACCCGCGTTTGGCCCATATCCGTCAAAATGTTTTCTATTCATGTTACTGTCCAAACATCTTTTAAATGTTATAATTGTACCCGCCTCCACCACTTCCTCTGGTAGTTCATTTCACATATGCACCACCCTCTGTGTAAAAAATTTTCCCCTCAAGTCCCTTTTAAACCTTTCCCCTCTCACTTTAAACCCATGCCCTCTAGTTTTGGATTCCCCTACCCTGGGGAAAAGACCTTGGCTATTCACCTTATCTATACCCCTCATGATTTTATAAACCTCTATCGCGTCACCCCTCTGCCTCCTACACTCCAGTGAAAAATGTCCCAGCCCCTCCTTATAACTCAAACCCTCCAATCTCAGTAACATCCTTGTAAATCTGCACCCTTTCCAGTTTAACAACATCCTTCCTATGGCAGGGCGACCAGAATTGTACATGGTACTGTAAAGGTGGTAGAGGGGAAATTGTTTGTGTGTGTGTGTGTGTGTGTGTGTGTGTGTGTGTGTGTGTGTCTATCCAGATCCACTCAGGTTACAATTTTCTGTTTTTCTGACCAAGCGTGATTTGGGCATGAAAATAGGATTTAATTCCGCTCAAGGGTAGATCACACAGTTGCTTCTCAGCTCATTCTGTACACATGCACGTGTAGAATGCTGAACTGTATGGAGCAAGTGGGCAGGAAGGATTCAGCCCCCCCTGCCTTAGGGCTCGTCTGGGGTGGATTATCTGCCGTTTTCAAAAACCACTTGGACAGCACTTCACACTCGACAAGCCAGGCACATCACTCAGCCTGTGCTGGTCACCAACCACTTCTGGGAACATCTGAAATGAAGCCGAAAACAGCTTCATAGAATCCCTGCAGTGCGTAAAGAGGCTACTCGGCCCACTGAGTCCACACCAACTCTCAGAAGAGCATCCACTCAGACCTAGCTCCAGCTAGTAATCTACCCTGTAATCCCACATTTCCTATGGCTAACCCACCTAGCCTGCACATCCCTGGACATTGTGGGCAACTTAGCACGGCCAATCCACCCTAACCTGCACATCTTGTGGGAGGAAACCAGAGCACCCAGAGGAAACCCACGCAGACATGGGGAGAACGTGCAAACTCCACACAGACAGTTCCACCCGAGGGTGGAATCAAACCCGGGTCCCTGAGGCAGCAGAGCTAATTACTGAGCAACCATGCTGACCCTGGATTCACTTGAGGTTCTCCTTCTGTGAGAGAAAGGGTGTTTTCTTTCCTAGATGTGGCTATCCTCACAGACAAAGCCAGCCTGGGCTGAGGTAGCAGCAGAGGTCAGTGCTATGCAAGAGAACCTGGCTCCAGTGACATAAGGATGAATGATCTGCTGTAATTTGCCAGAATGTTTTATTTGTTATTTATTTATGGGTAATTGTAGTGATTGGAACCTGGTTGACCTCATTGACTACAAGGTCCTTGATTGCAGTTTTTAACCTGGGCAACCCAGAAAAGCCCTGGCTGACCAATATAAACAGGAGATTTAGAATCTCTTCAGTTCAGGGGGTTAACTCCGAGCTGGCTGGCCAATGTACTGTACACGTGTAAATAAAGGGTGATTGGGTGACGGGATAC